GGATCCACCCGGCCACTGCATGGTTCGAGTTCTAGACCTGGTGGCTTGAAAAACTCGCCCGGTGTGTGTGTGCCCAGAATCCGGAGAGAAAGGAAGAGAAGGGACTGCTCTGGGACCATCCCCCAGGGGCTGGGGGATTCCTCACCAGGCCCTCTCCCCGTCTCTGTCTCTCTCCGGTGGGTGACCGCATGTACCCTACAGCAAACTGAAAACCCAACAGGAACCATCCGTACTCCGTAGGGGAATGTGACAGGTTAATAAAGCTCTTGACTGATCTGGATGTGAAACTTTCCTATCACCGTAAAAGAGCAACACTGCCAAGACACTGCCTGGATCCGCAAGTCCAAGTTTAAAAAGCACGTGTTTCAGTGAAACGTCTGGGCCTGAGGAGTAAGGGACCATTCACCACCGGCACTGCCAGGCCCCGAGGACCCAGAGGAGCAGACGGTTTTGGGGTGTCCCCTGTGCCAGCCCTTCTACACCCTCCCTCCGCCTCAAACGAAACGCTGCTTCTTCCTTCAGGCCTGGCCAGGACTCACCTTCTCCCTGCCCTCCCCTGATGACGAATACACGCTCCTTGTCGGCTGTCCCAGCCCCCAGAGTAAGCAGACCCAGACTGGGGCGCTTGGCCCGTTATGGTCTCTTCAGATGTTTACCCGTCTGTCTGCCATGGCCGGGAGCCTCCGCTGCCACAGCACAGAGGCCCAGGGAAAGCAGGCAGGGGACAGGGCCCATCCCAGGGGACCAGACCGCTCACTGCACGACAGTGAGTGTGACGGGCGGGATCAACAGGTCCTGAGCCATTCCTGGCTGCAGGTCCCAGGACTGGACACACACCCTCGCTCACTGGGCCTCAGCGTCACTTTCTGTGCACGCACAGGAGGAGCCCTGGTGGCAAGGACAGGTCTGAGACGGCGCACACACGGTGCGGAGTGCATGCTCAGAGCCGGGCAGTCGCTCCCGAGCCCCCTCGCCACCACCGTGCTCAGAGCTCGTCCTGACCACCAAGGGGCCCCACTGTCTGTACGCGGGCATTTGGCCTTCCTCAAATCAGGCTGCTCTCTGCCCTGACCCTGAGGTGGAGCCTCATCCTACCTCTAAGTAGACATGCACAAAAATGCCCTCTCTTGGGAAGGAAACAAATAAGATTTCTCAACCTTGGGCCATCCAGTGGCATGGTGAAGGCTAGATCTCATGTGGCCAGGTAGGGCTTGAGATCCAGACCCAGCAAGATGGGAATCACACTGGATGAGTGTGTGGGTATTTGCGCCCCAAACCCCAAAGGAGAAACAGAGAGGGGATCATGGTGGGGACATTCCCCATGGTGGGTTCTTTCTCACCCCCCCTCCTTCTCCCTCTCTCACTGGCAAGTGCACACATTCTCTGACCAAAAAAAAAATGAAGAGAGAGATTTTTGGTGTAGAGCCTGTGCACTTGCCGGAGAGCCAGAGACAGAAAGCGAGACATCACCCCAGGGAGAATGGCCACGCAGCCTTCCCGTCTTCTCCATTCTCCTCTTGGGATGTGGGGCCCACCATGAGTTTCAAGCCCTGGGTCAGGGATTCGAACCACTGTCAGCCATGTGGGAGTCTAGCGCCTTAACCGCTACATCACCTGCTGGCCCCCTGACAACTCTTTTTTAAATCCTCAATCTTAAATCAATCGCCAGCATCTACCCCAGTCACCGAGTAGGTCCTTGCCTGGCTGCGCTTCTGGCTTGCATGTGCTGACCAGGAAGGCGTGCCAAGCCTCCCAGCCCTAGAAGAACAGGTTTCCCCTGCAGTGCCCCGCAAGGCCCAGTGGTGTTCTGTCCCCACTCCTAATATTGACACTAGGAAAACCAGCTGCCTGCTCTGTGCCCGCCCTGGGCTCTGACCAGGGCCCGCGAGGTGCCCAGGGCTGTGGCCTTATTTGCTTCCATTCTGAATTTCTCCAGGGCCCAGCGCCAACCAAGCAGGCAGGACAAAGGAGAGGCGAGGAGGCAGCGTGTGTCCAGGCCAGACCCACCACCGGCTTCCTGGTGGCCGTAACAACAAAACCCGAGCTCACCCAGACTTCCTCGAAACCGCTCGGAATTGTTCTGAGCAGAGAAAAACAGTCGGGCTCTCGGGGATCCACCACGTCCGAGGCGGAGGAAGCGAGAGGCCATTGACTGTCTACAAACCGAACAGGTCCACAAAGCAGCTGCTTCCCAGGGCGAGGGAAACGCTGCCGAGGCCACCGCCACCTCCGTCCACTTACTCGAGATGGTCAGAAGTAGAACCTGGACTACCAGCTGCGGTTTCTGGTTCCTCTGTAGCTCAGTGAAAGCAGGATGTCATTTTAATGTCACACCTATTATACCTGAAGCCCATGACAATTAGTGTGCACGCAGCCGCGTAGCGAGATCAGAGCTGTTCGGGTGCCCAGGCTGTGCCAGGCACCAGGGACCTGCCGTCTACCAATCTTTCCTCAAGGGGCTGCGTGTCACGAATCCGCAAATACAGATCATCCGACAGTCCGGTGTCCTGGACGAAATAAAGTAAGGTCTTAGGGAGCGGAGCGGTGAGAGGACAGAGATCACTATGCCTTGAATGGGTAATCAGGGCAAACTTCTCAGAGGAGGTGGCAACTGAGCCATGTAGCCACTGATGAGAAACGAGACCCCACAGGCTGGGCTAGTGCACTCAGGCATTTGAGGCCTCACTAGTGCTTGAAGAAATGTTCCCGCTGAAACCATCTCTACCAAGATCAACCCCAGGCGTCTTGGCGTGCTGAGACACTGCTCGGCAGGCTGGGCCCACGAGAGGCCCGGGTTTGATTCCCAGACCAACGTAAAGGCCGGCGTGCTGGTGTGCTCCCCTGGCCCCCACGACTCTGGGAAGATCGAGACACAGCCAGGCCCTGTCTAAAAGGGAAAAAACAATCTGCTGGAAGAATCTTAAAAGGTTGTGGGTCCGCCGGGTAGCACGGAGGTTAGGCAGCCGGGTCCCACGTGGCTGCTGCACGGTTTGAGCCCCGGACCCAGCGGCTTGAAAATCACACTGAGCACGTGTGAGCGCATGGGCGCCCAAAATCCCAAGAGGAGAATGGAGAAGGCTGCAGCATGACCTTCCCCCAGGGCTGATCGCGCTCTCTGGCAAACACCTGTACCCAACAGCAACCAGAGGGGAAAAGGCTGGTTAAATGAATTTGCTCCAAGGGAAAAGGACACTGAGTGTTCAGGCACTGCTGAAAGCCCAGTCTCCCCAGACCCCTTAGGTACTTTAAACCCAAACTAGCAAAAATAACGAAAACCTGTAAAGCCGAACACTGGCAAGGACATAGCAAAGCCACACCGAGGCAGTGACAGTCCTGTGGCCCTGAGGGTCGAAGGCAGTGGGAAAATCCCTCACTCCTGGAGTCGGAGGGAAGGGGCGGAGATCAGCCATCCTGAGCAGCCAGGTGTGCGCTCCTGCCCCAGTGGCGGACCCTGGAACCCAGGGACGCTCCACCTTTCCCTGGAAAGTCTGGGAGGGGGGGCCTGGCTACCACCCACATGACCTTTCAGGAAACAACCGAGAACCTTACCAATAAACGTCCAAAACGTGCCACTCCTCCAGGCCTTTACAAACACACGCTCGATTAGTCAAGATTACGTGTTAACTTGGGAAGCCACCAATGGCTGCCAACACTCGGACTAGTCCTTCACAACTAGCTGGGAACCCCGGGACCTGTTCTATGGAAGGAACTGAAGCTCAGAGAGGTGAAGTAGTCTGTCCAAAGCCACACAGCGGGAACGCGGCTCCCTGGAGAGGTTGGTTTGACTTCCCTATCAGCTCTGCTTTCAGCTCGCTGCTGCCCGCACGTAGGTGCCCCTGGGGCTTAGTCTCACTTTCTCCATCTGTGAAGTGAGGCTGGGCTTCCAGGGCCCGCTGGCAGAGGTCAAGCGCTTCCCGGTCCTAATGTAGACCCCAGGCCCCCTCCTTGCCTTTCCTGGGGGCTGGGCTCTCAGACCACAGCAGGTGCTGTTTGTCACAACAGCAGCAGCAACAACAACCTTCCGGCAACAATGTTACAGCGGCAGCAGGACCAGCAACAACAAGGTCCCGCCCCACGGGGATGCGCATTCTAACGAAAAGTAGAGCAGCAAGGAACGGTGTACAAAGCGATGCGCACCCGGGAGGCCAGAGTGTGACAGTCAAAATGAGAGGAGCCCGGAGGCTGGCGGGGCTTGTCCAGGCCGCGACCGGCAGGTGGCGGGACTCTCCGAGGCCACAGGAGGGAGTGCGCCCC